AAACGTTTAAAGAAAACCAAATGTATGGTTCCGTATTTGAAAAGGATTTTTAATCCAGTCATTTCACTCAATGGTGTACTAAGGAGAACAGACCAATTTAAGCATCTTGGCCAAAGAATTATGGAAAACTTTAATAACCAAACGGATCTGTAAAGAAATCCGAGTAATCTGGTAAGATTATACTGTTTAAAGTATATTGCACATTGCATAGAAGTTCAGTTTGTGTGTTTATTATACCAAAAAGTCATAGGTGCTCTTAGAATTGTCTCGCTTTTCCAGAGCTTCAGGGGGCTCAGAACCACTGTTTTAACGCTGTAATTTTGCAAGCGATGTACGAACTGGAAGCGCAGGCTGAGAGCCATAAGAAAGGACATTTTGAATAATATTCGACACTGCTTTGACAAATACCTTCATGTACCACAAATAATTACAATGCATTATTAATTAGTGTTAGTTATTAATTGATTAATTATATCAATGACTATTATGAGGGTCCTTGAGATACATTTTACTGACATATTAGACATTAATTATAATTTGCAATGTTAAATCCGTTTTCCATTGTTGCATAACATATGGTTGTGTAATGTAATTAGCTAGATCAAACTGCTCTCGTTATAGCAAATGTGTATTCAATGTTTGTATTGAACATTAAGAAGACCCGTGTCACAATTCCTTGCATTAAATACGACGAGGGCCGTACTTTCATACATTAATTTTAGATTACCGACACCTGGCTACCAAAGGGTAATTAGTTAATTATTTTGCTGTTTATTTTGTATGGGAACTAATATATTGAAGGATGCATCATTAGTAACAATCGTAAAACCAATTGAACTTTAATGATTTTTTAATTATAAAATAGATTTTGTAAAGTTTAGTGCTCCTTGCGCTACGTGAAACTAAAATAGGTCGACGGTAACTTTTCTCTGCACTTTTATTGCGCTATTATGTTAATGAGAAACAATCTAAACTAAAACGGTGGGTTACGTTAGGTGCTTTTTATACCTGGCATGCACGGAGGTCTTGTGTTAAGTGCATTGCATTTGTTAAACCTATTAAGTACTCATTTTATATCCATCTCGACATTAATTTGACTGTTGAGAAATGAGGTAGAAATCAATTGGATTATAAAGTTTTAATCGTACTGACAATTAAGATATTTCTAAGTGAATAAAAGATCATAGTGAATTAATGAATTTAATTGAATTGTTTGAATATTATTACTTGATAATTTTCACGATATGAAAAGCTAATTGAAAAGTATTTTATTACAAGAATTAATATACAATATTTGTATCAAATTAATAATGGTTATCGTAAAAACTAATAATGGTTGTCCTAAAAACTAACTTTTACCTACTCATTTTTATTGAATCCAAAGAATTCTCAGAGTATATAGAAACAATAATAATTATTATTTATTATGAATTATAATTCATACTGATTTTTTGTGTTCATATCTATTTTAGGATGATAACCTATTGTATAACCAACCTGATCTTTGTGTTGTTTTAAATGAAAGAAACAAATAATACATAATTTGTTTGTTCCAGATACTCCTTTTTCTCATAATATTTCCATTATCAACCAAATTTAATTAAATTTAAGGGTCTTCAAAGTTAGCCAAAGGTCAAAGAGATACTCAAAAAGATTCCTATCCCTTTACAAAAGGGTTATTACAACAACTTCTTCTTTGAATATTTTTATGATAATTTAATATAAAACAGATTATTTAATTACTATTCTAATAACGGGTGTAATTAACAATTATAAAGATTAATATTTTTTGCAACTAGTAGATACACCAGTCTTTATTCGTATGTCTGTAATTATAATACGCTTTAAAACATATCCATTTCAAATTTATTTGTTTAACAATTCCAGTATGTATTTATGTTTCAATACTAATAAGAACTTTTTTTGTTTAAATTCCATAAAATATTCAATATAAACACAGCAGCCATGTTGTTGTTTTTAATAAAAATTGTCGTTGACCTTACTTGATTAACAATTTTAGTAAGAACTTTTTTTCATATTGACGTTAAAGCCTTAACATAATAGTAATATTTTTATTGTATACGATTTTAAAGAATAATTATATACCATTTCATAACTCACTAAAATTACAAACCTTGAAATAAACCACAGATGCTATTTGTATATAGCATTGTATTCTTGTAGTAAAGTATTCAAGCATTTCAACATGGGTTCACAGTTTACTGACTACCTTAGTAGATCTGCTCATGAATTTGCCGTGGCCAATGGATTCCCTTAGCTAGTTAGTACGATAATAAAACATTGACGGCCAGTATTCGACCTTGTCATGATTTAATTCCCGTAATTCATCTCATGATATACATATATGTACATTGATAGGTTCATCTTACCACTGCTGCGTCTTGATTCAAGTATTATAAGAACAGCCTCGTTAAAGCACACAGGCTGGTTGAAAGATTGCGTTTTTTTATGTTGTTGACTCTATTTCATGGCAGAAATATCCAGAACTTGATTACTTGAAAATTTTATTTCAAACTCATTCCTTACCTTGCAGCAACCAAATTTACCCTGGTTCTATTAGTCCTATAATCAAAGTAAAAAGAGTAGTACATAGCTTCAAAGGGCCCTAACATTTCTATTGTTTAACATTATCTAAATTCTGTCTTTGTTTCATTTATTATATCGAAACCTGATCGATACTCGCCCTTAATGCTATAGAGAAAGAATTCTATAAAATTGAGAGTATTCTAATCCGGTAACTTGCTTGGATTCAGACATAAGTTTTAATTCAGAAATCCTGTTCTACTGAAATGAACAAGGGGTGTCTTCAATCGCGATATGTGGAGCGTTGCTCTTATGTTTGCACCGGCATCGGTACACTCTAATTATTTTATAAATGATGAACACTCTTCGTCGTTAGTGTGTATGTATAGGTGAATTATTATTTAAATTATGTCTCTGGTATGCCGTAAAGTTTCATTTTTTTTGTACATACCCTTAGAGGTGATTAAGCGGAAAGGTATACAAATGAACAAAAATTATAAACCAGATAGTAAAATAAGCGAATTAAAAAGGTGGGATGAGGACTAAAACAATTATCAGTAGACGGCAAGAGAATATAAAAATGATAAGTTAAACACTATGCTCTCGATCGCTTATTAAATTTTTCATTTCATAGTACTGTTTATTATGCGGAACTGACATAAACGTCAAATAGAGAAAACGTCAAATACTTTTACAAAATCTATTACGAAAATCTAATTTAAGGAAACTATAAAGAATAAAACGAAGTCATTTATATAACACTAAATATATTTATAGAATAGCAAGAGTTAATAAAGCGTGAAACCATAAACAAAAGATTTAAAAACTGTCTTCCATAGTATAATTGGAAAATTTAGTGATTTAGAGACACAAAACGGTTTGAATGTCTGACATAAACTAGTACAGCGTCATTATATTCACGTGCCAAAGAAGTCTGAAGTTGTTTGTCACTATTTATATACAAACAAGTCTTGATTACATTACCACGTGATCGATAGAACGAACGTGACGTGAAGTTTTTGTCAATTCCTATACACATACTAAGTTGCGAGTTGAAGGATGATTTATTAGACTTTGTCGTTCACAAAATTACTTTGTCTTTTATACGACGCTGACGTTACTTGGTTATATTGTGAATTTTAAGAAAACTTTGGTTTTAACGCTTTCATATCTTTTTAGACCACCTTTTTAGCCACCTAATCAAAATAGGTGGTTGTTTTTTGAATTTATATATAAAAGGTACTTTGAGGAAAAGCTGATTCTGTACTTCATCACGACTTAGTTGATTTATATTATATGAAAAATAATGACGTTAAAATATTTGTCAAGTGAAATGCCGCTGCTTTATTTAATTGTTGCTGTTATATGAAAATATTTTATTTGAATTTATACGTCCTTATTAAACATCGAGTGTGTAAATATATTAAAACAAACTATACAAATAAAGACTGTAAGGTAATTATATTTGGGGAGATTAATTTACAATGGTGCCTCTGATATATTATTGTTTACAAGTCAAAATTTCAATTCAGGAGTAAAAGATTTAAACCTTTTCACATATTGGAGTAAACAGGTCATTGAAATATCTCAATCTCACTGAAAAGTGTATAATCCATGGACTATATATATGTATGTACAAATGACAGACCGGCACGTTCAACCATGAATTCTTGTCTTAAAAGAAATAGAGCAAATCTCCTGACAACAAGTCGGAATCCGCCGGTTTTAGGGGATCAAAGCGTGATAGGAAGACTAAATATTATTTTTGGCAATTCATGTTCTTCTATATTTTTAAAAAAAATGTGCATCTACTATTGATGGCACGAGTATAATGTGAAATAATACTAAGAATTAATTATTACAAAACTTTCTTTTTCGACAGTATTCATGATAGAGTTATTAATGAATATATTTAAGACAAAGCTGAAGGAGTACGTAAATACGGTTTAGACGATAATAGTTTGTTTAGATACCGGCGCTCCAGAGTTGTTATATTGTAACTACATATTAATGTACCTATTAATCTCATTTTATGTAAACCCTGTGTTTTTATGAGAAAATAAACTCTTTAAACTTAATGGAAAAATATATTCAACTGGATTATTTATGATGATTCTAAATAAGGTATATTAATAAGATCTGTATTTCAATGGCATTGAGTTATCCTTCCATGAATATTTCAATTAGTGGCCTTAGAACGGATAATTTCTGTTGGTATTGACGACATATATGCCCGCTCTGAAAATAAATACAATTTTTTAACTTAAAAAGATAGTAAAATATAGAATATATAAATAGACCTACTATTTATCAAGATTCCTTTAATGATTTTTAATATAAAATTTCTCATATTAATTGGATATACTAGAAAATCAACAATTTAAAATTAAAAGTCCATTTATACGCTTGTTAAAGGGACTAGTTGAGGTAATTAATTTATTTGTATAGCACAATATTTACCCTGTCTTGTTAAGACTGTCATTGCCCACGCTTAGGGAACTTCCACGGCAAGTGTTGTATGTAATTTGGAGGATGTTAGCACATTTTCTACCAACAAGATGGTCATAAGTCACTGTTGCAGCATAAACTTCCCAAGCACGGTTATGATTGCAAAGATTATCAAAGCAACCAGGCTGTAACTTGCCGCCATTGACAAAAAAGTCTACATCAGCAACTGCAAATTCGATTCCAAAACCTCCAGGGGCGCCGTTAGTATGTATAGCTTCAGTATAAATACCGTCAGTTGATCGGAATCGATTTTTGTTTTCAGTCCAAAGTGGTCCAGCGGGATCCAATCCTGTGAGTAAGAATTTCGTTAATTGTTTCTCCTGAATCACATAATATAAAAAATTTTTTCACAATATAAAAAAAAATATCAATATGATATTAATTCATAAATTTAATTTTTACCTGTAACCCGTGCAATCCTTCCTCCTAGCTCTCGCCCAGCGTTTCCAACTATATGAGCACCTAAACTAAATCCAATTAAATGCATCCTGTTAAATGAAGCTCCAGTGACTTCATTCAGAAAGCTAAGGAACCTTCCCAAACCCAGGCCTACACCTGGCACTCCAGCTACAGCGATTGGATAATTTAACATAGCCAATAGTGACCAGTCCAAGACTATTACGTTCACATCGTTTTTACGAAGATAGGCTGAAATATAGGTTAGGCCATTGTACTTAGGTTCTATAATATTATTATTTAAACATTTATTGCAAATTGAATAGCACCATCTCTGATTGTGGGGTTTATGCCCGAGTATTGATTGCCAAGCCACCCGTGAACAATAACCACTGTTGGTACGCCGGGATTGAAGTTGGATTCGGTAATACTGCTTGCGTTGTTTATAAACAGAGATTCCGACACTCTGGGATTCTTCCTGAAAAGCATAGCTTTAGAACCTAAACCATACTTCGCATAAATGAATTTATCAGGTTTGATAAATAAAAATCAATATAATGTTATGGAAACAATTATTTCTTAATTAAATATATGAAAAGGAACAAAAATGACATAAATGGAAATTTAATTGCAAATTTGTTATTTGGTGAATTTATATGAAATGTTTGTTCGAATATTACATTCCAAGAATAATTTCATAACATTTATAATCTAGTCTAACTCGAAACACGGATGAAATTCACAACTAATTTATTTGTTACTGATAATTTAAAACATATAAATACGTGTAAAAATTTATGAACCCCTTTATGAATATTAAAAAAATAAATATTAAATAATTTCCAATAATGTACATAATGTTAAAAAAAATGTTGAATACCAGTAAAATCTAAAATTATTTAATACATAAATGTCCTATAATTCACGTTTGTACACAATTCCAAGGTATTGTATATAAACCAATATCGTGTTAAAAAATGTAAAACAATATCCTTACTGTAAAAAAACACGTCTTTGATATATAAATATACTTTTTTATACCGAGGAATGTGCCAAGAAATGTCAAACCCTAAGTGGACAGAGTGTTGATTATGTGGGGATGGTTAAAGAAAACAGTTAGTGATGGCCTAGTGGTTAAAAAGCCTGACTCTCATGCACGAGGGTTCGGGTTCAATCCTGGCCCGGGTAAGTACCAATGGGAATTTTCCGAATCATATGTATTTTCTGGGATTATTTAGACAACACTGATTAATGCTGATTCCCAAAAGAGGCTTGATGTCAGGCAGGCGGCCGGTCTTAAAACAATTAGCCAAAACTATTTACAACATGTAAGGCAGACTCTGGCTAAAGCTGAGAAATGGCCAGGTAGAAGGAAAGTTAAAAAAAACCGCCTGAGCCACTAAACCCCGGGGGGTTCCTACACTCCGCGAACGAATCATGGCAAAAGGAATTGACAACGTTTCGTAGTCCCTTCAGCGGCTGTCCGTACATGGACCCAATGCTGAAGAGGAGATACTCTTATATATAATTACGTAGTATAAGATATTCTAAGTGTTGTCGCTTCCGGAACCCAATAGAGACGTACAATAGCCGAGGACCTAAATTAAAGTTTGGCTGGCAGAACCCCTGACCGCCATGCATTACTCCTATCCGACGATATAAACTCTACGAGAATACTGACGCCACCGTATAGGTAATACGTCGTCAAACCACTCGACCACAACGAATTGGGATAGAGTTAGGATTTTGATATTTGTTGTTATTACTAATTGTAGCGGTACGTTTAAACTTGCCTTGTAAATAGTAGATATTGGACGGCATATTGGAATTCAGCTCTTTTCTCCGGTAGTTGGATATCAACAGTTTCATTTACCTCAAAGCTGTTAATTTTTTTGAATTGAGTATATCCACTACTATTAAAAACATAATTAGCTTCGAAAGACAATGCGTTGGCTGTTAATACTGAAAATTTACAATAGAAATATAAAAATATGTCTACATCCAAAGTAAATATGTACTTAAAAATGAAGAGATTAAATTAAATTATAATGATAATATTCTGGAATGTTTAAATAAGCAAACAAAAATGTATTAAAATATGTGTAAATTTAGTCGAAGTCCTTAATATGTGTACATAGTACTATATGTTAGGAATATTTGCAAATGAATTTCTCCTATAAGAATAGTTTATTGTGACATTTTGAAAGGAAGATAGTGTACGTACCTGTCGCAATCAACACAAGCAAAGTCTTCATGTTTTCGCCTACGTTAGAAGTATTCGTTTATATTAACCTAAATATGGATTACAATATTTAGTTTGATTATTTCTGTACTGATTTTAACAAACAATGATTTCAAATTGTTCTGAGAATCCTGAACGTTTAAATTAATTTACATTAATTTTGTTTATTGATTGAAGAAATATACGTGTGGAAAAATAAAGGAAAGGATGTAGTTATTAGTAGGTAAGAAGTAGTTATTGAAAGTTATAAGACCAGATTAAATGAGAATCAAATTATAAAATTAGAATAAAATCACTTTGGCGTGGAGTGTATGCTATCATGTTGATAATGAGATCAAACTTCCAATGAAACCTTTTTAACAATTAAAGTAAGGACAGGATGTTACTTGTAAACAACTACATAGTTTTTATTACAATAGAAACTAGACTTCACTTGTTTTAAATTCTTAGAGTACTTTTATTACTATAAAAAATAATTAATACTTAAAATAAAAACAGGTCAATGTAAGACTTGGCCATTCCTGTAGAATACTAAAAACATATTCTAAATCTAAGAGTTGACTATAGAAATATATAGGGAAATTTAACACTTAACAGTTTTCGGAGTGATCTAGTGAGGTTTCACTTTATAAAGACATCTCAAAAGCGTTTTTAATGTACAAGTAAATATTTGGTGATTTCAACACTATCTCTAATATTTTGATAATAAAAACAAAATAAAGTGTATTAAAAAATTAAAAAATGCAGCTTTATAAAACTTATTGATGTAAATCTGTTCGGTATTTTGACAAAAAAAAAATCATGACGATTTTATTTGTATTATAAAGTTGTAATATCTAGAACACATTAGAATTTTATTCACGGAACTCTTGAATGTCATACCGTTATTTAGTTCAGATTCGAATACAAATTATCACATAATGAGATCGTGAAAAACACTCGCCATCCCAGTTCTTTTCAGGTTACCAATAAGAGGGGTGAGATTCAATCATTCGATTAAGAACGAAGATCTTATTGAAATAAAGTCTACATTACAGTAACATAAACTACAAATACACTTTTATGGTAACAATCGTGAAATAATAAGGAATGTTCCCCTACTTATTAGAGACACCCTATTATTGCTTTTGAAGTTTGGTTTCTAACAGTTGTTACGTTTGATATATTTTAATCAAATCTGGAAATGTATTTGAGTAGATAATATTAAATATTATATTTATGATTGTCAATTTTATTTACTATAATAAATAATATAAACTATTATACTATATTATTATTAAAAAGGTTAAAATGGTTACATATATACGCAAATAAAAATCACAAGCGTGTTGAACAATGTGTTAATAAGTACATATATGCTGTGTTTAACTGAAACGTTTACTGCGGTCACACTAATAACACTCCTCTTTTTGAGTTGGTGTTTAAAATTGAAACTAAGAATACAATTGATTTTTATTACACCGTAAAATTAGATAAAATGGAAATGTTTGTATGCTCAATATTTTGCATTTATTACCTTGATTGAAAATAACTTTCAACATATTATTTGTTCACTAAAATTTTAGTCATTTGCTATAAAAAAAATGTGAAGTAGAATAAATTTCGGATTATAATTAAAATAGAATTTTATTTTAGGAGGTTTTTTAAAGATTTAAGTAAAAAACTATATTGTAAATAAAATTTCAAGTATTGTTTTCTATATTTGATAAATGGTTGGAAATTTTATCTCCGTAGTAATAATGTAAAGAATTCTCTTATTATTATCATTATTTTAATATAAAAAAGTATACGGTTATAACCCTACTATCAGTAATATTTGTATCAAATATTTGTAAAGACAAAAATTAATATATACTAACCTTGACAAATTTTTATAGTATATACTGTTTAATATTGGAGAATTATTCGTAAAATCAGTATGTCACTCTACAAGCGTTGTTGTACTGAATTCTAACTACGTTTATGTCAAAGAGTTATATTTATTTGATGCGTCTTCATTTGCGATTGAAATGATATTAGCATATGAGATGATTGTATTAGAGCTATTTCTATTTACGTCATAGGTGAAAAAGATCGAATAAATTCTTTTTATTTCGGTATTTCAAGTCAATAATATATGAGAAACTGTTGACTTATAACTCTTTTTTATTTTTATTCCATTATAGAGAATCCTTAACAACTATTTCAAAAAAATTGTTCCAGTTTGTTTAAGGATTTACGGCTTCCTTAGATCAACATTTTATAATTTAATATTTTTCTAGATCAATCATTTGAAGAACTTAATTATACATATTTAAACGATTCGAACTTACATATTAATGCTTTTTTTTATTTATATGAAGAAATATGTATTTATCTTTATGATTTAATAAAGATAAATTAAGATAAAAAGTTTAGCTTTATATGTTATACGATATGAATACAAGAATATTTTGTTATATTTTATGTACATTGTAAATTTATACTTTAATACAGATTGTCTCGTAGATAGCGTTTAAATACGAAGGGAATAATATACAAAGCACATGCCTAGAAATGTTTTTGAATACAAATTAGAGACCGATACAATTTCAGAAAGTTATGTGATGTGAAGAACGCTTTCCAGAATTCAAAATGATGTATTTTTTTTAAACAGGCGACTAATAAAACCTTTTCACTATTCAGAATATTCTTATTACGTCCATGTTTTAATGTATTGTTTTACTTGGCTTTTGTTTAATTGAGTATACTTTCGTTTGTAATGGTAATATTAGTTAATATAATGGAATTTATACGCTACTTCGTGATAATACCGATTTATATAACGCTAGCGTTGTGTTGACGTCAAGTGTAATTATATCAATTGTCATCGAAAATATATTTAATATTAGAAAGTTGTAATTAATTTTCAACTGTCAAAAATAGGTTGGTTAAATGTTATGGTGAAAAGTTTTGAAAATGTTGGGAAACAAAAAATAAGGTATTTATAGAGTTTTATGTTTAAGCCCTTAGTCGTAAAGGGATTTGTGAATCCCTTTATAGCAAAAGTAAAACTCACCATCAGTCCCATGAAAATTATACATATAATGTTATAAATGAATGCAATGAAATATTGGAGGACTTGATTTATTATTGTTTGGAATTATTATTCTCGTCATATAAAAAGATTTTTTATAAAGTAATAGGAAAAACATACCATTGAACTAATAGTAAATTTTGAATAAACACTTATTTTTGTCTCCTACACTGTATAAGCTTCGGTAATTAT